GCAGACGCTTTCATGCTCATGAAAGCTTCTGCCTTTTAATAAAATTTGTTAGTCGGAAAAGGTGCAACCAGACTTCTGATTTTTTGCTACTATAGAATAACACTCTCCTCCTATAATAGCAACTGCTGAATGACCACCAATCCCATTGATCCCAGCCCTGACAGCAGCTTTGGTTATTAAAATCTCGTGGAAGATTGGGAGAGAGTGCTGTGACAAAAATGCTATTTAACCTTTTCCCTTCATGCTTTTTTCATAATGTAACTCTCTCCCCATATTTGACAGGAGGGTAAGTGGGATACGAATATGGAGGCAGTGCAATTATTGTTTGTGACAAGGCTACGCCATCTGCCTCCCCTTGTGTCAAGTCTTCTTGTGAAAAAGAACAAGCCAGCACAAAGCCCCAGATCTTATTGAAAGATTTTAAGCCTAGGCTGTGAGTTCACACCGTTTTTTCAGTCCAGTCTGAACGTCAGGTAGGAAAATGCTGTTCCTGGCATCTCTTGTTGATATGGGAGGCAGTAAGAAGAACATCGTAATTATTATCTGCTAAATCAGTAAAGGAGAAATTGTACCTACAGCATTGCAACCAAGGGAAAAATAAATTAGCTTAATCTGTAAACTATTTGCAAAGTGACCCACAAAGTTGTACGCCTAAGGATATTTAATAGTTTAAAAGAATATGTTATAAAAACCTTGCCTCTTTCTGTAAGTTCGTGGATTTGAGTTTCTTGCTGGTAACAGGTAGTTCATCAAGTGCCTGGTCTGAACGTGGTTCTCTGTGTCTTACACTCTCCATTGGCTTTCTTGGTGTTGTCAAACCTGCTAATACTAGCAATCTCTGCAAACAATGCAAAAGTTAACAATAATTATATTAAAACCAAATGTTATCTAGATGCTACATTATAATTAGTTTAGTCCCTCCAATCTTTTGATTTTAATCAAATGAAGACTAATAGTCTACTTACATAATGAAAGCTAAGGGATTTGCAGTGGGTGGATGAAACACAGCAGTTAGAAAATCTACATGGACCAGAAAGTACCTCTAACAAGTCATCCTTTTCAAACAATCATTTAGAAGGTCTGTGAAACTGAGTGAAATTCTCTCCCATTCAGACTTCGGGCAGGAAACATTGGCTCGCTCTGAAATGTTTCTGAATAGGGAAAGCTAAAATCTGTAGCGTTTTTCATTTCCCAAGCTCCCTTGTAGGTGACAATTGCCTGTATACATTCTCAGCACTCCTGCCCTGAGAAACTCTATTAACTAGTAAAACCCAATGAAACACAGCCCTGCTCTTCTTTTTCTGCATTGCAGTACCTGCTAAGCGGGCCGACAAATGGGAGCAAAAATGGAAGATCATGATAAAAGCAAAAACATAGATATTGGCTGCTCCTAATCTCTTAATGTTTGCAAGCAAAGAGCATAAATTTTATGGATGGTTTTATGTTTTAATCTGTATGGTATGCTGTTTTGTAAATTTAGTATAGTTATTTTTTTTTTAATCAGCTCCACTCAGCAATGACTAGTAGTCAGAAGTGAAGTTGAAATGTCAAATTCCACATTTTAGGAAGGAATGTGACATTTTATGAAGACCTTTGGCTTTATCAAGCCTGGGGCTCAGCAAAGGGAATTGTTTTACACAGATGGAAAGAAATTATTATTCCTCATGTTAAGGAATGGATTCAAGATATGTGGTCTTCATCCTTTTTTAAAAAATGTCCTTATATTCTAAAAATGAGAAGGTGGATCAATATGTTTCTGTATGGTCAAGATTCAGTAATAAGCTAAGGATGGAACTAATTTTATATAGTTTGGATCTTATTTTTTCCTTTTTTCCTAAGTTCTCTTTATTTCTTCCCCTTTAATCACATTACTATATGTAGTTTCTTACGATATTATTACTGATGCTTTACTCTTCTTGTTTGTTATATTTCACTAATAAAATTATTTAAAAATCAATGAGTTGTTGAAATGCATAGTATAATTTTCCCAACATGATACATTGAACTACGATTTGCATGATAGGCCCCAGCATAAAATTATGCATGATTAGGAATTATGGGATCTGTAGTCCAACAACCCTGGAAGGTGCCAACTTGGGGAAGGTTGTACATGCCAAAGTCACGGTAGACAGAGACAATTAAGATGGTAGCTGGCTGGCAACTTGTGTAGTATTTCAATTTGCAGGGCAATGGTCCAGCACTTGTTTGAAGATATGAGGTGACTAGCCCAAAAATTAATTAATTAATTAATACATAGACTTATCCCCGCCCATCTCCCCGCAATGGGGGACTCTGGGCGGTTTACATCAAGTTAAAACAATAAATACATGATTAAAATTTATAATTTAAAATTTAAAATATATTTTGCACTTACTGCACACAAGCTTTGATTCCCCCAAGCAGAGCTGATGGTGGTCACCCCTGCTCAGTGAAAATGGAAGAGTTGGAATGGAAACAATCGCTATGATCTCTCTAGTAATATTTTTCTCACAGTACCCTAAATCAAAGCTAGGATAGGATAATGCCACAGAATATAATGCTGGAAATTTATTTCCTTATTACATTTGTATCCCACCACAATCAGTACAACTCAGGCTTAACTGGGAAGCTCTTGTCACAGAATATAAATGGACTGCACTCAAATATTCACAATGGGAAGAACCACACTTGAAAATCGGTGGGCACCTGTTGGCAATTCATTAAAGCAGCCAAGTCTGCTTTCAGAATTCAGAATGCTGGTCCTGGAAATGTATGCAAGCCACGGAGAGATTCAACATTCATAGTTCAAAGCAACTTTTTAGAAATGAATCCAAAACTTTGTTCAGCCCCATTGTGCTTTCACGAACATCTGGCATCAAAACAGTAGGGAAACCTGGTGCCAATTTTCAGCAATTATATCACCAAAGACTGGCACTCACTCAGAGGGTGCTCTAGTGGTCGAGGCGTTCAAAGTCTAAAAGATTTTTAGTGCAGTCTCTAACAATTTCAGTTACAGGTTTTCAGAATATTAAACTTAAAATAGGTAATTTCTAAGACTGGATGAGAAGGAAGATTATGGACAGAGGGAAATTTAACTTATTAGGGAAAAATATGAACAAAGTATAAGAAAATTGTGGAGTCTCAACAACTTCACTTCTGCTCTGACCATATCCATTTTCTCATTACCCAACACATTTTCCATGACACAAACATAGTTTCATCACCACCAACCCACACCAAAAATGCTGTGCACCTGCAATCTAAGGCAAATATTTATGGGTTTTAATATTTAACTTACTTGAGTTTTTCTGAATGTATTCTTCTCCAAAAGGTTTTTTGCTTTATGGTATGATTTTTTTTTGTTCACTGTATTTTATGCTGATTACCAGAAACCATCTTCTAAGATGTTATTTGCAGTTTCACCATCAGAAGTGCCTTATCTGTACTTTAAATAGATAAAAGTCTTAAAATGCTATGTTAGAAGATTATGTGCAGTGAGATCTTCGGTATATCTACTGGAAGATGCAATCATTGGAAGGTTGGAATCCTAAAGATTTCCTCTGACCCTTTGAGTGGTGGGGAGAAATTTCACCACAAAGTTCCAAGGCAATCCTAATAAATCCTAACTTATTTTTTACTCCTAATAAGCCGCCCCACTTTTTTTTTAATTATAAGTTTGAAAGCCTTCTATCACAATTCAGGGGCTCTTAAGGACAGCTCATAATTAATCTCTTCTCTTTTAGCAGGGAAGTGAGAATGTCACTTACTGTGGTTGGTCTTGCACTTATGGCACACTCTTCCAACAGATCTTTCCCTTCCCTTTTTCCCAGGTGCTGTTCCTTGAAATTCAGAGTAAAGAATGCCCACAGCGAAAAAACAGGAGAGTGGGAAATCGCAGTGGCTACTTAAGCCCAGAGGTTATAAAAAGGATAATCATTAAACCAGAATGCTTGCAAGAAGCATTAAGGGCCCAATTAATTCGTGTCGCACTGTGTGTGTGCCTGGGTTTGTGCGTGCGTGCAGGGTGGATTAACCAACTGCCAGGAAAGAAGAAGATGTGCAAATTGAACCAAAGAATGTGATCGTGCGGCACGCATGAGTCGAGGCGCCAGCAAATTGCAGGTTGCCATGACTGTATAAAACATCAAAGCCTTGTTGGCTCATTAAAGAAAACAAACAAAAATCCAGCCTCTGTTTGGTGGAGAGGGAGAAGCCGGGATTCCAGGGTTGCAACTCCCATTAAATGCATGTTTCAACATTTTTCAACATCTTTCTGTTCAACATTTGGAAAGTCCTCTTGGACAGTGGTCACTACCCATTTCAACTAATGTCTTGGAACTGGTCTGATGTTATCCCACAAATCTTAGCACGGTTAACTAGTCAATTGTGTTTTTTAAGCTTTTTTTTTTTTTGCTAAGACTCTTGTAGCAACTTAAATACTAAGAAAGATGTTATAGACTGAAATGTCCTTCATCAGATGCCTGAAGTGTCCTCCAAACCTGAGTGTGGGTGTGCACACCCACATGCATCTGTGTTTATTATATAGTAGGTCTCTTGAGTTCACAGATTTTAAATCATTGTTTGTTTTAGCTATGGTCTGTTGAGCATGCAACAGTACCGGAGCTCACCCATAACACTATGCCATAAATCATGATTTGCAACTGACAGTGGCTGGTTCACCTCATCATTTTTGTTTAATAAAAACTAAAACTAAATAAAGCCAATGATGACTCCTTGCAACAAGTGAACCCAGTTTCTCTCATTCAATCTTGCACACAAATATAGACATGCCTGCGCAAAAATTATACGTATAAGTTACTTGATTGTCAGGGGAAATGCAGAGATTGTAAATCAAAAGAAAATAAAATGCATAACTACAGACTATGGTAATAATATAAAACTGTTGCAGCCATCCTTCATGAGAACACAGGTACTTTTTAAAGGTCCATGTCTATCCATGAGTTAATTTGCCACACTTAACTAAAGGGACTGCACTATTTACATTTCAGTATGCAGACTTGACAAATGCTTTTATGGTATCCCTTGTGCTGAAAACAAAGATACAAAGAGGGTTTTTGTTTTTATTTTTAATGCTTAATTTCCCAGGGTGTTTCCAACAGTTAAAGGGATACCCTGGAAATATTACACCAACATCAGAAATGTTAGACCTGCAGATTTGGTATCAGCATTGCTACTGAGATGGATAGAAGTATATAGATTAATCTTTTATTGCTTTTTAACTTACGATGGAAGAGAGCAATATCCAAGTACAATAAAAATGATAATTTGAAAAAGCAATATGAAATAAGCCTGAAAATAATTAACCTGTAGCAGAAAACTCCCCAATAAAGTTGTTGTTGTTCAGTCGTTAAGTCGTGTCCGACTCTTTGTGACCCCAATAAAGTTAATATATACTAAAACAAATAAGCAGCAATGCTCAAGACATTAACAACAAATTAAACCTTGATCCCACAGAATTATACTGAACAGTAAGAAGTTGATTCATATATAATATGAAATATAAAATCCTTCCATCCAGGATTTTCAATTAGGTATATTTAGAGTCTTTCCCCCAAACTAAAACCATCTTATTAAATATGCCAGACAGAATGCATCCAAGTTCTTCATACTTTGGTAAGTTCATTTTAAGAATCCGATTCATCTTCCCTTTCACACGTTTGATCCTTATTTCTTTTCCAAGCATCCTATTTACCACCCTATGGATATTAAGCCACTACAGTGCCAACTAGGGCAGGCCCAGACATGAACCAAGTTCCTTTCCAACAATGCTGATGGTGTAAATTGAGGTTAAACGCAACCCTGGAAAGGAACAAGGTGAAAGACCAATGGAGCTTGATGCTTCATAAAAAGATGCTGCTGATTACCAAGATCTTGATAGAGAGAGGATGGCTGGATACCCCAAATTCTCCAGGGAGCCACATGTAGACCAGCATGCAATTTTCCAACCTGGATCTTCAAGATTGAGGACTACCACACCCAGCAAAACCTTCTGAGTGAGAAAGATGAGGGCTGTAATCCAACACATTTGAAGGGTTGTCAAGTTGGAGAAGGCTGCTGAAGTTGTGTCCTGTTTTGCTCTGTGCTAAGAAAATGACTGCTGAACAAGTAGACTCCTGTTGTTAAAAATCACTCTGAATCCCTTCCAACAGACCTTAAAATGGGACGAGACTTCTTCCTCTTCTCTGGACGTGCAGTTTCTAAACTGCAGCGGTCAGAGAAGTCTGACATTTTTATCAATGCTTGGCTTATTCAGGCCGTCCCTGAATATCAACTTACAGTGAGCCACACGATACCTGCAGGAGAGACACACAGAAAGAAAAGTACTGTACAGAGTTACTTCTTTCAGAGCCCTGAATTCACCTTAGGCTGGTGTTATTTCTGCAAGGCATGTTATTGCTTTTATTTATAGTCAGTTGTTTTCCAACGAATATGGGTTTTTCAAGAATGAATTACTGGTTAATTTCTATATATGTTTGCTATATTATTATTTATCTCATTTCCATATTGCCTTTTGTCCCACGAGAAATAAATTGAGAACTTTTATTAATGTGTAAGCACTTTATGCCTTCAGGTTAATGAGAAGACAGTTCAAAATTCCAAAGTAGGTGTACCCTGTGCAATATTTTTTTCTAACTCTATTGCCTGTAATGATAATTGGAGCCATTATCTGCCTGGTAAATCAACGTGCACCTTGGGTACAAGGAAGGTGCCAGTTCCACCTAGAAGCCATTGAATCAAACTGATATCTTGCTAACTGCCCCAGTTAAAATCTACAGGGCAACCTGGAAATGATGATGCATCAGCACAATCATGGAATCATGGATCATTCTTTCAAGGCCTGGAATGTCCAATTAATGAAAGGATCTTCACATAAGTTTCCACTGGATTTGCTTTCTCAAGTAACAGGTGCTGTGGCTTCAGAGGCATGATCAAGATTGGGGAAGTCCTAGGCAGGGGAGGAAGCCTTCTGGCTACTTGCATAGGTGTCTGTGGTTGGGGGGAAAATCCAACCACAAATAATGTAATGTGCTTCATGATGCAACCCACTTGACTTATATGCTTGCATCTGACATCAGAATGCAAGTGTGGAAGGTTGGAGTTAGTGCTATGACATCATGACACGTGTTCCACCTTTTTGGTATCATCACAGTTTGTACTGAACAATTCTGGCCATTTGATTTCTCTCTACAGCCCTGGTAAAAAGGTAACGTCTACTTAAGAGTCAAATGCAACTCCTTCTTAGTACATGGGCATATCCATGTTCTTTTCTTGGCAACCTTGTGAAAGTGGTTTGCCTCTGCCATTTATTTGGATGTTGTATCAACTTCTCAATCACATCTGGACACTGGGATTCTTTGGAGATTGCCCACCCAAGTAGTGATTTTTTTTTTTTAAAGAAAAACTGAAGGTACTAGGAATTGAAACCAGAACAGGATCAAACAACCTGAGGCCCAAGATCAAATGCATCTTCCAGAAACTCTGGATTTAATTTAAAATGTTATTTTAATTAGTTAAAATGAAACATAAAGAAAACTAAATCAAATTTAATTTTTCTCCTGAACCTACCTTTATTTTGAAGTCTAGACTCTGATGCATCACTCAGATACCAAAAGTGATCCTCCTCCTCTACCTGCAAGGGCTGCAAATTCTTTATTCAAGGCTTCTTGCATGTAAACAAACTTTCTCCCCCACCAGGGTACAGGCCCATCCAAAAGAATTCCTTTGATGGATCTATAGGCCATTTACAAACAGTGCTCCCACCTCAGCTCGATTGAACTCCACTTTGTTCCCTTAAATGTGAACTAGGAAGATAAAAGTGGTATTCTAGGAGCTCTTTTGCATTGTCATTTCCTAAGATCCAGCAGGCAAGGCTAAGAAGGGATAAATATGTCCTAACCTGGTTAGATGCACCTAGGCTTTAAGAATTGGACTTTGAGATGAAACTTGACAGATATTAACTTGTTCTGAGTTGCACCCGAATTTGAAAACGGAGAGCAGGACTAGATTTGGGGTGGAATTTTATGCTTAGAAAGGCTTTTGCAGAGACTTTTGCAGAACGGCCAAGTTTGGCTCCCTGGGAGGAAAATTCGTGATGCCGGCAGTAGGTGCGCGTGCCGGGGGGCTGAAAAAAAGTTGCACCCAATTCAAAAACGGAGGCCGGGACCAGATTCAGGGTGGAATTTTATGCTTAGAAAGGCTTTTGTAGAGGCTTCCTAGTGGATGGTTATGGTTAGAAACGGTTTGGGATACACGTTTGCTGTACAACTGATATTAGCTCCCTAGGAGGAAATTTGTCTGATGCTAGAAGTAGGCATGTGGAGTGGGAGGGGCAAAAATTGTTGGACCTGAAACGAAAAACTAATGGTGGGTTGAGATTTGGGGGAATCCTTGGGTTAGAAATGGCACTGGTTTGTGTTTTGCAGAACGGCTAATTTTGTCTGCCCAGGAGGAAATTTTTCTGATGCCGGCAGTGTGCGCACTGAGCTGGAAGGTCAAAAAAAGTTGGACCCAAAATGAAAAACAGGGATGTTATTAGATTCGGGGTGGAATTCTACGTTGAGGGTTGTTGCTGGTTTTTGTTTTGCAGAACAGCCAATTTTGTCTGCCCAGCTGGAAATTTTTCTGATGCCGGTAGTAGGCACACTGAGGTGGAGGGTCAAAAAAAGTTGGACATGAAATGAAAAACGGATGGTGGAACGAGATTCCAGGTAGAATTCTAGGGTTAGAAGTGGTGCTGGTTTGTGTTTTGAGGAAGGGCAAATTTTAGCTCCTGAAGAGGAAATTTTCCTGATGCTGGCAGTCAGTGCACTGAGCAGGAGGGTGAATAAAAGTTGGACCCGAAATGAAAAATAGTCAGCGGGATGAGATTCGGGGTGGAATTCTAGGTTTAGAAGTGATGCTAGTTTGGGTTTTGCGGAAGGGCCGATTTTGGCTCCCCAGGAGGAAATTTTCCTGATGCGGCTGAAGGAGCGCAGAGCAGGAGGGTCAAAGATGTTGGACCTAAAATGAAAAACGGACAGCAGGAGAAGATTCTGGGTGGAATTCTAGGGTTAGAAGTGCTGGTTTGTATTTTGTGGAAGCACTGATTTTGCCTACCTGGGAGGAAATTTTTCTGATGCCAGGAGTAGGTGCACTGCGTGGGAGGGTCAAAAATAGTTGGACCCAAAATGAAAAACAGACGGCGGGATGAGTTTCGGGGTTGAATTCTGGGGTTGAAAGCAGCGCTGCTGTGATGGAATGGAATTATGAAGGCCAGGCTCAGGT